TCAGCAATACAGCCGCCGTTCACGCCACGAACAGAGTCGCTTACCGCCAACTTGGCGGATAAGTTAGTAGAGTTTTCGAGTGTTACCAACGTTCGAGACCTGTTCCATGGAGGTCGCTGTTTCAGCCCAATATTGCTTCCCGTCATCCCTGGCCAATTTTGTCGTCATCTTTCGAAGTTGGCAGAAGCAGTCATCGTTAAGGGACCTGGCTCAAACCGTCTGAGCAGACAACGGCAAGGTTCTTCCGCCGATCCAGTCACTGCGGCGTCACTGGGCGCATCCAAGGATTTCCTCAGGTGCCCCATAGACTGATGCTTTTAATGAGGATCACTGGTTACTGCCTTATCCGTCGGCTCGGGTCGTGAAACAGGTCTGGATTTCTTTGCTCAGGGCCTCAGCAGTGCTGGTTAGCCGGGTTTTCGCGACATAGAGGCGTCTAGGACGTGGCATTTTTGGCGCGGATGAGAGATGAACATTCAAGCGTGTACGAACGAGGACGTGGTCCGACCCACGGCGTTACCAGTCTCGGCACAACGCATCGATCTGCTATCGTGAACCCAGCTGCGGAACCTTGAGCTGACTAGTATGTAATCAGTCTGACTGGCCGTATGGCCGTCGTTTGAATACCAGGTCAGCAGATGTTTCTTGCGAGTTCGACCATCACTAGCGCCAGCAACAATCAGCAGATCGCGGCGAGGCAGCCTTTCAACTAACGCTTGCAACTGCGAGTAGAACGCCTGTTTATCGCGCGGTTGGCAGCCGAAGTTCGTGCGTACACAGAGACGATTGAGATGTTCTTGAAGTGACCCTTCAGTCACACGTAGGCCATCCAGTCATTGACTGTTTCCCAAGCAAGTAAGGCGAAGTCCGCTTACGGTGTCGACCAGAAGAGTCGCGCGAGCCGCTGTGGTACGGGGTAAAGTATAATTCGACTTCAGAGATATTTATTTCGCGGGAGCCTGAGTCAGGGCGTCGAAATTCAGCCAGACAGCAGACATGCACGTTGTACTGATCAAGCCTGCGCTCGGTCAGACTTTGAGTACCGGGATTCAGGAACGTTCGCACATTCCAGCACCCAGTACCAAGAGTCCGTCCCCGATTGAATTGTCCAGCTCGCATGCTATTTGCCCACACCACTGGACCAGGGATGCGGGGCGCGTCGGTTCTCGCGGACGCCGTAGCATGGATCGTAATGCTCTGATCGAACATGTTTCATGAGGTTTCTTGAGAATTTCGAATACAGGCAGGTCCCCAAACGGTTGCTCGGATTGTTTGTTCGAGGTTTTCTCCTCTAGCGCTTTGGCTTAAAAACCTAACCACAAGGCAGCGGTGGCAAGCAAACTTATTTAATGGCGGTTTACGGTCGCCATGTCACAATGCCGTCATCGGGCTTTGCGGCTTTTTATAAGGCTTTCAGCATGCCAGACGGCCAACCACACCCTGGTAGCAATGTCGATGCTGGTCCGCGACAGCTTATTCTTTAGGCCTGGATCTGCTTACTTTGCAGCTAATCTTCACTGAAGGTCGTTCCACTATCCGCCACCTGTGGACGCGCCGGGTAGCCAGCAGCTAGGCTAACGGGCAACCCGTCTTCCCGGCTCACTTAGTAAATTCCAGTGAGGTTCGTACATGCGTCTGTCTTGACTGGCTAGATTCGCAATGGCTGGCATCGTAAACCAGTGCGTTCATTCATTAGAGTCAAAGCCCAAGTGTTGTCATACGTTGTGCACCATCCCGCCCTGATTTGACTTTCTTGTTTTTAACTGATCACCAGGACGGTAGCATCAGTTCAGAGGGATTCTGTCGTGGATCACTCCATCATCTGACCAATTTACTGTGTTCTCCGTCTGCTTTAAAAACGAGGGAAGCCACCGATTTACCGTCCGCCTATGTTGTTGAAAACTTCGGATATTATCAATCGACAAGGAGCCACTTGCACATCCTGCGGCACAGGACCCTCCGGCCCTATTGTGGTTAAAAATGGATGTTTCCACGGTGATCAGAGTAGTCCTCGCATTTCAGTACAGAAGAAGTGGTTCAAGATCGCCGTTTGTCCACATTGTCTCCCGCTCTTATAGCGACCCCCCACCCCGTCACCGTGGACAACGTCATGGGTATGTGCCATTGCGGACTCTCCACCGGCCTTTCGCCAAACTTTAGTTCGTCCATTTCACTGTGCAAAAATCATTGTGATTAACCGACCCAGATTACTAAACTCCACTGTGCAAGGCACCGCTGGCGTTTTATCGACCATTCCTGTATGGATTTTCTGTGCACAGATAGCAAGAAACGTATGCACCTTACGCGTCTGCTTCTGATTCCATCGTCAGGCAGGCGTGCGCAAATTTGCTAAAACTGATGATTCATGTAACGTTGGAGCAGATGTGAGTGGACCAGCTACCGTAACGATCTACAGGATGCATTCTCCAGCCGATCATTCCCACGAGCTCCCTCATATTTACCAGTCCTGACGAGATGATTAATCTGTCACTAATCTGCAACTTAATAGTAGCCGATTGTTGGGACAGTCCTGTCTGCCATATTTGGCTGGCAAGTACTTGTACTTCTGCCTGGTACGGCTGTGCTCATGTCTGATCTAGCCGGCCTCGATCACGCCCCGAACTGTACCGCTCCACGCGCGACGATCCGCGCCAACAGATCTGGACAGCTAAACACACTCTTCGCCAACGACGGAGACCGAATACCAAAGGTCCAAGAACCACCTCCATGTCTTGACGAACCGTGTCGAGCCAGGTTTTGAGTTGACTCCCTCTTCGACGCCTCCAATGGGGTAACGGTGCCGGGCGGACGACGAATAACATCTCCAAACCACCTCAATCGCCTTTCTTGGATGGCCTGGGTTATCCTTGCGATGTTGTCGCAGCGAGCGCGGACTGCCTACCGAGCGCAGTTCAGTCATATCAGCCAGTGAACTTTGTTTGCTGACGAGCTACTTGCTGTCCGGATTTGGGTCGTTTCTGGTCGCTATTGCCCAAGGATTAAGTCGTGGATCGCGGCACGGCGACTTAAGGCGAACAAACGAGATGGCGACGAAGACCGATGACCTTTTGTTCTTGGGATGTCCTTTTGCGGTATATGTGCGACGTCCCCAGTCCCAAAGCGCCGTTCGGCAGAGGTCTCAACCCTTATTGTGGTCAAGTTTAATGAAAGTTTATTTTGCGGCGGACAAGACCCTCCGCAAATCCATGTCTGATGCCTTTCAGGCAATACGTTTCTGGTTAGTCACTCCACCACCTCTAAACCGCGGAAGGTTTAACAATCTTCAGCTTTATCTCAATACAGAGGGTAGATTTCTCCCGAACTTAGAAAGTTGCGGAGTCACACTACTGACTGGCCACATTCAGAGTATGGCGATATGTCAGTCGTTCAGTAAGATCAATTGATTTTGATACTTTGTAGACTGGCATCAGCGGGTCCTCTTCATGGAATCACGAGTCACACCTATTGTTCCCAGAAGCGAAATCCCATATAGGTGTCGCATCGCGAATTAATGGGACTGTTATGACCTCGTTTGAAGTAGCTGCTGCCCTATGGTGTTACTGCGTTGGGGACAGAAGCGTTCCGCATTTCTTAAATCTGAGTACTCCGTACATTCAATAGAGACATGCTACGTAGAGTGCCTTCAGGCTTTGGGCGCCTACATACACATAGGAATCCCAGTAAGCTTCGGGCACAAAAACATCTGCATGATCAAAGTCTGATCGTTGAAAGTTGTATTTGGAGGCATTTTAACATAAAAAAGCGGCAGGTCCAAATTTTTTTCCAGAAAGTGCGCCAGAATACAGAAAATCACTTGAAAACGAAAATATCGAGATTTCAGATGGTATTCCACTGATTTTGATGATTGAGAGTGCCGCGTAAACCAAAAATATTAAAATTGAGCAATTTTGCGGAGGTGAATTGTGCAACGGGAAATGTTGGTATCACACAGTTGTGGGACGGGGTAAGCCGCCCCTAGTTTGTGAGAAGCCTCACAGTTTATG